TTCTCAATTTCTTGCAAATAGTCTCAATAAAATAGAGATTTCGAAATTGTTAACCATTTGATCAAGCTCATTTTTGGAGGAATATGTGCAACATATGTGTCTACTTTTTGAATGATTGGATCTTTAAAATGAAGTTTGAGTTGAGAGATATTGGCATCACAATGAAGGTGCAATTTTGGGTATTTTTCAACTTCTTGTTTCTTATTTTTAAGCTAGTTTGCTTTATAGTTTGACTATTGTTGACACTAGTTTGTTCATCACTTTTGAACTCTCATGTGTCCTAATTTCATTATAGTGGAGCTATTTCTTTAATCTGAATGATTTATGCATTTTTACTCTCACATTGATGGTTTCCTATGTTAAAATATCATTGATCTCATGTGTCTTTATTTATTGAATTTGCTACCATATAATTTGTTGTTGATTCCCATGGGTTCTTAGAAGTTTGTGAATTTTTATTTATGTTTCTTATTAGTCTGATGTTGTTGTGTGTTAATTTTCCATCAAATTCCATGAGAGTACCGCCTACAATTAATGCATAGAAATCAAAAGATTAAGAACTAATGGTGTGTTTGTTATCATATGTGAGTCATTTAATTTACAAATAAAGATCACTATTACAAATAATATATTTTATAACAAATTTTTTATCTTATCCAACAAAAAATCGAGGTGTAAACCATAGATGGGTCACATTTTTATTTCTTTTAAATACCATATATTTCCTCAGTTGAACTGACAATTGAGGGGTAAAGTATTTAGAAGACACGCCTTCAAATATCAACAATTAAATTTTTGCACCTTTTAATTTTTTTAGAATTTTGTTATGACTTATTACCTCGGTTGAGCTAGAAATCAAAGAGTAAAATATTTAGAGAAGACGCCTTCAAATTCCAACACTTACATTTTAGCACCTTTTATTTTTTTTAAATTTTTTTTATGACTGATTACCTCGATTGAGCTGGAAACCGATGGATAAAGTATTTAGGTGACATGTTTTCGAATTTCAACTACATTTTATATCCTTTTAATTTTTCTAAATTTTTTATGACCTATTACCTCGATTTTGCTGGAAGCTGAGGGGTAAAGTAACATATTTTATTTTTACTTTATTTTTTATTTTTGGCCACTTTGATGCAAAAATTAAGTAACGAATCTTTGTCGTCCATTTATAAAGTAACAACAGTCAAGACATTGGCAACTCATCAATTCACATGAAATATTAGTGATCGCGAGAAACTCTCACTATTTAATCAAAACACGAATGCCACAACTATTCATCTCGGAGGAAAAGTGGTGAAATTTAAACTTAACATATTGAAAACATTGATAATGAAAGCAAGAGCATGAAAATATTTTAAAGTTGGTTTCTTAATGTAATATTTTCTCTAGTAATTCCTTGTCAAAAATGTTTAATGTTAGTTAGGAAAGCACGAATGCAACTTATTAATGTTAGTTGTAGTTGTATCAAGTAAAATGTTTGAAGTTGTTGTTGTTGTTGATGTTCAAATTTAATATTTAACGATTCTATTAATTTTGTTTATTTGTTGTTGTTATTGTTGAGATTTAATGTTTAAAGATTTCTAGAATTTTGTTGTTATTGATGTTATTGTTGTTGTTGTTGTTGTCTTTTTGTTGAAATTTAACGTTTAAAAATTCTATTGATTTTATTTTTGTTGTTGTTATTGGTGTTGTTGGTGATGATAAAGAAGATTTAGAATTTGTTTATAAGTTTGAGGCTTAACAGATTAAAATGAAAAAATAGGTTAAAACTAAAATTTTGTAAACATGACTTTACGCTCAAATATTGTTTAAATCTGAGATAAAAAGTAGCACAATTTTGAAAATCCAAAAAAATGCAGTTGTTGAGGTCGGTCGAATTTATCACCATTGTCACTTTTCTCCTCGATTATTCAAAAATCGAGAGGTAAAGTGATAGATTTTTATACCGCCCTTTGTTACCTCATTTGTGTAACTGAGGTTATATATCTTTGGTGTCTAAGGTGAAATATGATTATTTGTAGTATTGGATGCATGTTTTTATGATAATTGACATGAATAATAATATTGAATGAGTGTAAATCTTGCAAATGTTTATTTGATTACATTCATACATATAATGATAAATATGTGACAATTATAAAAATTTATTTTTTATAAATATTAATTGTTAGTGTTTGATCATTGAAAATAAATATAACTAATAATTGTTTTTGTTGTCTACAAACTTAATATTAATATTAAGTATTTTGGTTTTCTCATTTTCTTATTATAATTTAAGTCAAATCTCAAATTTTATTATTATTATTATTATTATTATTATTATTATTATTATTATTATTATTATTATTATTATTATTATTATTATTATTGTTATTATTATTATTATTATTATTATTGAACAAATTATTATTATTATTATTATTATTATTATTATTGAACAAATTATTATTATTATTGCGCAAATTATTATTATTATTATTATTATTATTATTATTATTATTATTATTATTATTATTATTATTATTGTTATTTTTATTATTATTGTTATTATATTATTATTATTATTGAACAAATTATTATTATTATAGTTTGTTCAATAATAATAATAATAATAATAATAATAATAATAATAATAAAAATAACAATAATAATAATAATAATTTGTGCAATAATAATAATAATAATAGTAATAATTTGTTCAATAATAATAATAATAATAATAATAATAATAATAATAATAATAATAATAATTTTTTAAATAATAATAATAATAATTTGTTCAATAATAATAATAATAATAATAATAATAATAATAATAATAACAATAATAATAACAATAAATAATAATAATAATGATAATAATAATAATAATAATAATAATAATAATAATAATAATAATAATAATGATAATAATAATAATAATAATAATAATAATAATAATAATAATAATAATAATAATAATGATAATAATTATAATAATAATAATAAAATAATAATAATAATAATAATAATAATAATAATAATAATAATAATAATAATAATAATAATAATAATAATAATAATAATAATAATAATAATAATAAATAATAATGATGATGATGATGGTGATGTTGAAATTGTTCTCTCATAATTTAATATCTCAAAATTGAGAATTAATTATAAAAAGTGGACATGCTCCAACCTTATGATAATAAAATATGACATTTCAAAGATTTTTATTTTTTGGTGTTTCAACTTTTATTATATTTTCATGCTTAATCTTAAATGTTTGTAAAGCGATAAAAAAAAAACAATTTTTCTCAAACTTTAATATAGTAAACTTTAATCCTCTGACAAAAATTATAATTTTTTTCTTTTAAGAAAGTTAAGATATTTATTTATGAAGATCAAACTCATTATCCTCAAGAATTAGAGAACTTACGTGTTAAGAGAAATTGATTGTTTGGACACTCATGATACTAATCGCTCATTATAAACTTTAATCCTGCATGAGATGAATGTTAACATCTATTTTCTTATATAAATGTTAATAAAATAATATGGTGCGCCTTTGAAAAACTTTGTGTCAATTGACACAAACTAGATGATTTGCAAAATAACATAATTTGTTTATGAGCTATCAAAGTTATCTCTTTAGTGATATCATATAGTCTCATAAGTTAATTATCTCATTTGATTTTGAATTGAACATTACGATATTAATTGTCTCATTTAGTTTTGTGAAGAATATTATAATATCAATTATCTTATTTGATTTTGAGGTGAATATTCTAAAATTAGCCATCTCGTTCAATTTTGAGATGAAGGTGAGAGAAAATTATGAATATGATAAAGTTAGTGGAAGTAAATTTATATTTCTTATATATGTGTCTATTTTATTGTTTTAAGTGTACAATGATATAATTTTATTGTGTGAAATCAAGAAATCTTTATAAAAAAATTAGCAATGAAAGGTCTTAAGAACACTTATTTGTATTAATTTATTTTGATATCCAGAGATTATTCTAAATGTATTCTTCAATATCACAAAAGAATTTTATCATTAACGTTAAAAAGTTTTATGTCTCTCATCCATACTGATATATATCTTCAAGTAAATTGATGCGATGGTTATCAAGATTTCATCACCATGTATGTTAGAGACGATAGCTATTGTAATCTTATTATTGGTGTATGAAATTTACCAAATTGAAAAGTTAAAATATAAGATAAATAATATTCAGATGCACATCTAAATAACTTTGATGTCATTATTAAAATATATTGTTTAAATGATAGATTGTTGAAATATTTTATATTTAAATATTATTTAATTATTATATATTAATAGTTATCATATAAACATATTTAGTTATATTAATTATTTATTAAATTAAAATAATCTAATCGATTAAGTGATTAAATAAAATTACAAGACTAATTAAATTTCTATTAAGAAATTAATTAATTGTTTAGTTAGGTATTAACTAAAATACTAGTAAACCAATTTTAGAATAATGAGAACCTAATGTGTGGTTACCTTATGCATAGGCTAAGACTCATGATATACCGTAAGTAAATAAATAATTTATTTTTCACATTTTAAGAGATTCAAAAAAGTATTAGGGGTAGTATTGAATAAGATTTATAGGCAAACAATTAAAAAGAAACCGAGAGAGAGTAATAAATAAAGTATACAATTTACACTAGAAGAGAGTATGAAGATTCATTATTGGCTTTATTATATATATACATTCTTGTAAGACCCTAATTCTATATATATTCTTTTGAAAGAAAGCAGTACGAAACTGCCAACAAAGGCAGCAAATTGAATTCTCAAAGGCAAGTGTCATAGTAATTCTACTCTCTTTCTCTCTCTATCTCACTCTCATACAAACAACAAACCGACTTGCTTTATCTTTTTCTCCACTAACACAAAAAGACTCACCACCCTTTTGCTTTTCTGTTTTTCTTTTTTGGATTGTTGTATCTAGATCCACAACAAAAACTAAAGAAAGATGATCCCAGAACTCTTTGGTAATGGTGCTAGTGCTTCCCTCATAGCAAGTGAAAGAAGCTACTCTTCCATTAATGGAGGAGTTGGAGGAGGACTTTTATTTCAACCAACAACAACACAATCTCCTTCTCCTCCTCCTTGTCCATCTTCCACAACCACCATCCCCACCACTACCTCTTCCGCACCAGCAACTACCCCCTCATCTGAAAACCAACAAAGTCTGAGGTGTCCACGATGTGATTCTTCAAACACTAAGTTCTGCTACTACAACAACTACAACCTCACTCAGCCTCGCCATTTCTGCAAAACATGTCGTCGTTACTGGACTAAAGGCGGTGCTTTACGTAACGTCCCCATCGGAGGTGGCTGCCGGAAGAACAGAAACATTGGCGCGTCGAACAACCCTGCGAAAACCACAGCAAACAAGATGAAGACAGTTGCATCAGAGTTCATTGGAAGGTCAGCAAGTGGTCATGGGTTCGATCTCGAACATATTGTTCCACCACCAAGCCAAATCCTTTGGGGCTCTCCACAAAATTCTTATCTACTTTCGTTGCTAAGATCTAACCAAAACCCTAACCCTAACCTTGTGAAGGAAGAAGGGAATAACTTAATAGGATCCCATGTTTCTCACATGATGAGTACTTCTCAGCCGTTGGTTTCATCAAATGGTTATGATGGTATTGGACATGTTCTATGCAATCCATTTTGGAGAAACAATCATGATCAAACTCAACAATTACAAAACGGTGGCTTTGTACTTGGGGAACAACATCCTCAACATCAGCATCAAAGCAGTGGAATCCAAGAACTTTACCAGAAGCTAAGGTCTTCAACATCATCATCATCATCAGGTAATAATTATTGCACTGAGATTTCATCTTCACCAACAGTGTTACTAGGGAACGTGGCTTCTAATACCATTTTGGAGACAACTTCAGTTCCTGGTGGTGAACTAGGGTACTGGAATCCAATTCCAACTCTCACTTGGTCTGATCTTCCAACCACCAATGGTGCATATATCCATAACAGTAATAATTAAAGTAACTGTCTTTTTTGTAGCATAGGTTTTGCATCTTAGTGTATGTTTGTATTAGCCATGAGTTAAACAAAATTACAGTGCTACTCTAATTTTGTTAAAATTCTAAAGTGTAGTTTTTGTTGAAATCACCGCGACTAGTCGTGATTTCGACAATCCTATGACTTCAAGCATGCCTTAATTTGTATCTTAGAGTTTGTTTTTCTGGTGTGGTTGACTTTGGTTTGGTTTGGGTGGTATATGAATGTGGATCATCATGCAATAATTTGTATCTTACTGTTTTTTTATTTAAGTTTAGTTGATTGTATGATTGGTTAAGTTATTAATTTGAATTCTTAATATTAGTCGCTAAGTTTCATCATTTTATGTTTTGTATGCTCGAAGTTGATATTCTCCCTCAAGAAAATTAGAGAAAACCATTAAGAAAAAAAAGATTAAAAGGTGACAAGAAGAGAGAGAATGATTAAGAAAAATAAAAGTAAAAGTAAAAATTATAAAGCTATTGTAGGATACACATTCTTGGTCCACTCAATAGGGTTTAATTTGCTTTTACATATGAATATATATTAAACAAATAAACATGATTTTACGTTGTATGATCTCTATTCACTTTCATTTTCCAATAATATCTCATCTTTTTTCTACACTTTATATACTATATATCTGACATGAAGCTGGTGGTCCTATATAGTGGATGGCATATGGAAATGTAAGACTTTGTTTTGTTACGAGAAATTGACGAACCTAATGCAAAACCAGCCTTTGGAAAGAGTTTCCTGAAATGGCATTAGAGATTCTTTCTTCTACTCTTATGTGAGAAAGAATCCACTTACACTGAACTTATATACGCCTGCTGCAGATACTTGTGTTTCTTCCATGTGTTGTCTTATTATATTCAATTCTTTCAAGTACATGTACACTGATTACAATTTCTATCTATCTATAATATAACAAACAAAAGCATCATCTAGACATAGGAGTAATGTGCAGGGCTCAAGTTGAGATTTAAAGTAACTCATTATTCATCTTAGTGCAATAAAGGTACATGGAGGATTAGTTATGCACGTGATGGACTATATTTATGTACTAAAGCATTTCGGATTAACAATTCGTCTAGCAAGCTTAACTGTCTAACCAACTTTACTATCAGTCCAGCAACTTAATTTGGTTAAGTAAGAAAATCATGACAGAACCTCCAACCTCTCTAACTTTCCATAATCCTGAGAACACTAAGAACCCTAAGAAAATCATCAACCATAAACTTAATCATCTTAACCCTGATAGCAATCACACTAGATCTTCACAAGCCATGGAAGACGGATGAAAGACGGTCAGAAGAAATGCAGGGGCAAGAAGACAACAAGATAGAAGAAATAGGAAATGGGATACACATGTGAAAGATAGAAGAAGTGGAAAAAGCTCAACATTAGTCTTTCTCACAGAAATCCCAGACAGATGTGGTGCAAAGGAAATGTATGACATCTTCATAGACTTTGGAGAAGTGGAGAAGTAGTGATACCTCCAAGGAGGGATATGAGAGGGAAAAGATACGAGTTTGCAAGTTTTAACAATGTCATCGATGTGAGGATCTTAGTAGCAAGGCTGGACGACATCATAATAGGGAACATCAAGTATTTGCTAACCTATCAAGGTTCCAATGACGGAATGTGGTAGAAGGAAGGAAAAGAGGAGGAAAAGGAATGTTATAAAGGAGGGGGAGGAAGATCATAACTCGGGCATTATCAAAATTCAACAAATGCTTTACAAAAATACTTGGAAATGAAAGAAAACCTTTGCTCAGGGGGTAGGAAACACGCAAAACCAACATCATCAACACAAAAGGCCAAACGTGTGGAAAAGAAAGGAACCAAGGGAACCAAAACCATCATTTGCACATTTAGAGTTTAACATGGAAGAAGAAGATTTGATTCGTTTCAAAAAGGCTTTCATTGGTGTCGTGGAAAACCCTGGAATGTCTACAATATATAAGAAGCTTTTAACATGGAGGGATATTTCTCAATAAAAGTAACTCCACTTGGAGCAAATTTATGTCTTTTAGAAAAGAGGGAAGAAGGAGAATTTAAATCATTAGTGGAAGAGGCTAGAGATTGGATAAGGCAGTGGTTCAAGGAAATCATAGAATAGAAACAAGATGATGTGGATAATGACAGAGTAACTTGGATTATATGCTATTGAATCTCTTGTCAATCTTGGAACCCTAAATTCTGAGTTCACAACTGTACCATTAGGAGTATACTTATGCTCAGACGATGAAACAAGAAAACAATCCAAAATAGATGTGGCAAGAGTCATGGTTAGAACAAAATACACAGTAGTTATGAATGAAAGAAATATTTAATATGCAGATAAAAAATGAAATATTCAGGATCAAGGTGATGAAGATTCTCAGGGTCCAATGAGAATAATAATGCCAAAACAAGATATGGAAGATGAAGATATGTGGGGTTCAGAAGAGAGATTAGAATACAACTTGGACGAGGAAGAAGGTGAAACATTGGATTACGGCACAAACGAGACATCTAATGGAGGCGACGAGTATAATAAAGACATCAATGGAACAAATGGAGGTGACAATAAGGAAAAAGGCTATAGTAGTCTTTAACATGGGGAATGAGTTCAATCTAGGATTAGAAAAAAAGGAAGCAACTTAGTAAATCAGTACTAAAAATAACGCTTGTAACATTGGACGCAAAATGTGTTTTACCTCGGCAACTCAGTCGAGGTTATTAAGGTCGTCATGAGAAGTCTGTACTTAACACCTCGTATTTTTAACACCGATGTTATTATTGAAAAGGTCATGAGTTCGAATCCTAGGAACTGCATATTTTTATTTTATTCATTTTATTGCGCTCTTCATATAGTTATCGATTTTATTTATAATCTGAGGTAAAATGGTATTCGTTTTATCTCGGTTTTAGAGAATAATCGAAAGGTTTACTATTTAGTTTTTTGGCTATATTTATCAATTTCATTGGTCCCCTATATCATTTTTTGCCTGTATCATGTTCCATTGGCATGTATCATATCATTATAATAAATCTATTAGCCTGTCAGTATTATTTTATACAGAAACTATAAAATATGTAACGAAATTAGAATAATATCATATATCATTTCAAACCTCTGTTCATATATAAAATAACATTGTTATCATCAAGACAAAATAAGAAAATCTTTGTTCATATACAAAATAACATTGTTAGCAACCAACGTAAACTATTGTTCTTGCTTTCGAGCTTCATAAAGAGATATAAAGACACTGGCCCAATGAGATTGGATGTCGTCAATTTCCTCCGTTGAATACGGTTTTTGGTTGCTAAGCTCCGACAATTAGAACAAAATTTAAGTTAAAAACAACAAAGTTAGTTTAAGAAGTATACATAACATGGATTAAGCTAATACCTTATTCTTCATGAATCCTTGCGTAATACCATCAGAGACAATATAGAGCATATATCTCATGACATAATATCCACAAGAATGAGAATCAATTTGTTTACGCCACTACAAATAATTTTCATTTATTAATGTCACACTAATACACATAATTAATATAATGTCAAATAGCACAATTATTATACTTACTCTTGGGTAATGAAAGTTTGGCTTTCTACCGATAAGTTTTTTTCTCCGCGCATTATATTCCTCTATCACTCTACACGTGTAGGTTAAAATTAAATATGAATAAAAACTATTGAATTTTAAAGTTAAATTTTAGTATAAGAAATAATACAACTTACCCATTCAAAGCAGTGATCACAACTTCAGGCAGTGTCGAGTGAATCAAGCAAAACACAAATATACTATCTTTCATGGGACATATGACAAGTAGTTGCCAATGTCGACTGCGTAAATATTCAGAATCATTAATAATATGGATAAAATTGATTTATAAATGAAAAAAAATAGTATATACTTACTCGCGGTAAAGCGGGGCCAAATAATAACCTTTGATGCTCCCTCTGTCCATTAACTTATCTTGTACATAATTTCTGACTTCGTGACCTGGAGAATCGCGAGTAAGAGCACTCTTTGAAGCATCTAAGATACAATACTTGTTTAGAAGATTCCTTTCTAAACAGAAGTCATGGATATACCTGTAAGGTCAAATCTTTATGTTAAAGTACAAGAATGTATGTATATAAATATAAAGCAATATAACACTACTTACGAGCACCAAAATTTCACTATGGACTCGTCTAATTCCTCATCTCTCTTCAAAAATTCATTTAATGAAGTCTTGTTAAGAAACAAAAGAGAAAATGCATCATGACTTAATTGAAACTCATAGTAATGGATTCAATACTCGGCATCATCATCTCTAGTCTATGAAGGCTATCTTGATTTGGTGGTGAGGGTTCAATACTGCCCTGGTTGGCAGAAAAACTATGTGTCGCGCTTGTACCACCCATAACTTTCTCAACTACATTCTCTCGAATTTCGATCTGATTTAAATTTGTAAGGCTGACTATACCCAACGAACTCAATGTCTGCATCATAAAACCAACATAAATACAATCCAAAACTGAAATACACAGACAATAATAACAATAAAATATAGCTTATATCTCAAAAACATCACGGGTACACTTCTCGGCCCTCTTCTTCTCATTCATCCTCTCTCGCTCCTTCTAGACACTCTCCCGCACCTCCTGCAACAACTTCTCCCTCTCCTCCTCCAAAAACTTCTCCTGCACCGTTTGCAACAACACCCCCCTCTTCACCTCAATGAACTTCTCATGCATAGTCTGCCACAACCTCTCTCTCTCTCTCCTCATCCAAGAAATTCTCATGCACCGTATGCCACAACCTCTCCCTTTCCTCCTCCAAGAACCTTTCCCACATTTTATCTCTTTGCTCCCCCAACTTAACAGCAACAATATCTTTAACCTCTCTCTTACTCATTTTCTCTGTAGATGATTGACAACATCCAAAATATGCCTTGAAGCCAATGCCTCTACCAAGACCACAGACACGCCCAG